GGAGGACACACAGAACAAACCACAGTACAAATAAACTCATTTTAGGGGATACAGGGATGAGGGGTCAGGGAGAGACACAGGACAGAGAGCAGGTCCAGGGGGGTCTGAAGAGGCTTTTTAGAGCAGGTGAGATCTTGCTGAGACCAGAGTCTTAGATTGTGGTGCCCAGGGGAGGAAGCGGCCACAAACCTGGAAGGAGGCCAGTGTGACCAGGGGTCTCCTGCCTTTATCCATAGGCCCCTCAGAAGTCAGAGTCCACATCTTCCCCTGCATCCCCTTTCTGGGGGAGGGGGAGGTTAGGTAGCTGCCTGAGGGGCTCTGGGACATACAATGTGCAAGTCTGTAGAAGACTAGGCCACAGCTCAGACACCAGGGCTGGGGGAACTGAAGCAGGTAGGAGCAAGGCCATGCAGGTCATTCTGGGATCTTGCCTGCCAGCCTGCTGTTTCTGAAGGGCATGAAGCTCAGGCTAGGACCTAGAAGGCAGAGTGGCCTGTTCTTACTACCACTGCCACCCGCCTCTCCCTGCCTTGGCAAACACCCCCTATTTACCTGTCTGCTCATCTGCTCACACCTTGCCTTGTCTTGCTGGCAGTAAAGGGGGCAGGCCCCAAGAGGGCTCTGGCTAATCCCTGCAGAGTCTATTCTAGGGGCTATGTGTTCATTATAGGTTTGAAGGTGGGCCCATGGGTGACCTCTGGGGTACCATTGTTCATGGGAGCCAGCGGGGACATGCCCAGGGTCAGAGCTTAGATAGTTGAAGTTCCTGCCTTAATCTTGATCTTTGTCCTGGTAAGGGAGTGAGGATGGCTGTGTGCATCCTGTCCCCACTGCAAGACATCTGCCCTGTATGTGAGGGAAAGGGACAAAACCACTCCCTCTATGCTGTCACACATAGGCAGAGGAAGATGGCACTGTGTGGCTCTGGCTGGCTTCATGAACCTGTCCACCCCAAGCACAGACCCAGAAATTGAGGCCCATGACACTCATGTCACTGACTTACCCCTGTTTGAGCAGTTGTTGGGTGATCTTGAAGGGATAGCAGTGTGGATGAAAGAAATAGGATGGGGAGGGACCCTGTGTCTGTCCTCTGTCCTGGGCCTCAGCTTCCCCATGATGAAGGAATGGAAATTGGCCTTGTTGGCTGTGCCTGTGGGTGGCACTGACAAAAGCCTTTGACTTTTGTTCTAGGGGTCAGCAGGCCTGGGTGATGTGGCCACCCGGGGCCTCTCTCTGTGTGTCCCCCTCTGGCTGTCTTCTCCTCTTGTGATATTTCTGGCTCATCTCTGCCAGCCCTCCCCCCACTCCTTTCTTTCTCAATACTGTTGCCAAACATCTGGAAGAAAAGTGAAAAACTTGCCCTCCCCAAATCCCCGGACGTTGTCAGATTTCCAGATGTGGGGTGTTCTGCCTTCCAGATGAGGGGAGGGATGTGTTCCAGCCAAGGGGTGGGGGCAAGCCCCAGGCCTAGACTGCTATCCCCTCTCTGCGAGGTTGAGTGACAGGATGAGAGGGACTGGGCCCAGCAGGAAGAAGGTGGGGTGTCCCAGGTAGAGGCCCCGGGGGATTCTCCTTTCAGGCTCAGGCTGCAGCCTCTCTCCACACCAAGAAAGACCCTTAGGGATTGGGGGTGGGCCCTGCCTCTGAAGTTTCTATCAAAGGCTCCAGGCACTTAAAAATAACCAGGAACACCTCCTTCCCACCCCCTAGACACAGACACTGGGCAAACAACAGAGCCCAATGTGTTTGCAAGATGTCCCCCTTCTGGGAGTCCTGTGTCCTCTGCTGGAGCAGCCTCATGCCACCGTCAGCCTTCCCACTGCCCCACACAGTGGCCCAGCCAGGCTGCACTCTGCTATTGCTATCTGCTGAGGGCTGACACAAGGGGCAAATCCTGGTCAGCACCTTGGGGTCCCTCAGAGATGAAAATCCTCTCAGGGGCCCCATCAGAGAGTCAGCAAAGGGAGGCATGGAGCCATGTGGCAGCAGGAGAGAGAAGCCTACAGGGAGAGGCGCAGTGGAGCACTGCGGGCTTTGACAGTGCCAAGCAGAGGAGGGGCAGAGGTGCTCTGGCAGGGGATACAGTGTGGAACCAGACCCCTGGGTGTGTAGGGAAAGGTGGGTCATTGGAGCTGTAGAGAGGGGCAGGAGGAAGCCAAGAGGTGAAACCCTAGAAGCTGGCCTCAGGGCCAGGCAGGCACTGCTGGGGGAGGCTGTGGGTGCCTGAGCTGTTGAGCTGGCCTGGGGTAACTGTCCTTGAGGGAGCAGCTCATTATATTACACCTTGGGGTGTTCCCAGAGATCCTTAGACCCATAGTTAGGGCTGCAGCTGCCCGCCATGACCAGACGCTCACACACAGCCACATATAAACACCCAGACATAAACACACAAAAACAACACCCACAGACACACTCACAGAGACACACACACAGATGCACATATGTAAACACCCGATATGGACCCACGGAAGCAACTCACAGACACCCCAACCCCCCATACAAACATAGACCTGGTACCCAGACATACACACAGATACACACAGACCCCTCTCCACACAAACATAGACACATAGATACTCACACACACCTAAGGCACCCAGGCAGAGACACTCAGAGAAAACACACATAGGCCCAGCTGACCTCCCCCTAACTCCCTTGGACACAGGGAATTTGATGCATCAAAGGGAAGTTTAACTCAGGAGGTGTCCTTGGGAATTCTAGTCCTTCTGCCCCCAGCATGGCACACGACACACACTGGGCCAGCCTTCCTGTACTTGTTCAATTTATTAAACTGCTGAGGGGCAGCAGGGCCCCTGTGTGGGTATGTGTGCATGTGTGCACATATATACCAGTGTGTGCATATGTGTGCATTGAGCAGTAGCCTCAGTCCCCCTTCCCCCTCCCTCTCCCCAACAGGTGACTGGAGGAATGGAGAACCCCCCTCCCTCACCCATTCCTGAGCCTGAACAATGCCCTCCCCAGGCCCCAAAATAGCCCCTGAGCTGAGCCAATGTCCTTTTATGGCCCTGTCCCTATTGTGCACTGTAGGGTGGGGCTGGGGTCATGAGGTGTCCAGATAGGATAAAGGAGCAGGCCAAGCTACTCACCTACCCTGTTGGTTGCATCCTTTTCTCCACAGTCCTCTCTGTGCTTACAGCTCCAATGGCCCCCAAAAAACCAGAGCCCAAGAAGGATGAGGCCAAGGCAGCACCCAAGGCAGCTCCAGCTCCCACACCTGCACCTCAGCCTGAGCCCCGCAAGGAGGTTGAGTTTGATCCCTCCAAGATCAAGGTGGGTGTGGGAGCTGGGTTGTGGGAGGCAGGGTGGGGCAGGTGAGTGGATCCCACAGTGGACCTACACAGTGGTGGGTCAGGCTCCAGAAGTGAGCTGAGGCTGGAAGCTTCTGTGCAGGGGTCAGACAAACCCTGATTGCTTTAGGTATCAGGAAGACTGCTATAGGAGAGATGGAGATCAGATGTTAGGCAGGGCTCCCTGGGTGCTGCTGAGAGCCCAATGCACTTTCTAGGTAGAGTCCTGATTGGGGTTTAAAGGGACTCTGTTTGGTGGTTTTGGAAAATGACTCTCTTTGTCTTTCTCCCTGGACCTCATATCCTTGGAGTTAGCTGTCCTCTTCCCCCCTGTAACCAGACAGAGATCTTCCTTTTCCTATTGAGGGGTCCCAAGTTTATGTCAAGTCCCCAAGGGTGGATTGGGTGGGAATAAGGGAAGCAGGGTCCTAGCCCAGGCTGGGTCACACTTACCCTGCAAGGTCACTATGCCCAGAGCTGGTAAAGACCTAAAAGCTTCTGGGCCTCAGCTCTTAGGTAGGGGAAATTGAAGCATAAGCTAGATAGGGACATCCCAAAAGCCTTGCAGGAAGCTGGTCATGGAGCTATTCCCAGTGACCTCAAGAGCCTTTCCCCTGCCCCCCACTAGGAAGTGTTTCCCAGTCTAAACTTGGAGAGAGCCATGACTCCCACCTGTGGCATCTGCATAACGGCATGATCCCTGCATCCTGCCTGTTCCCTGTTCTTGGCTGGCCACCAGCTACTGCTGTCCTGGCTGCCTCCTGAAGGGCCCTTTGGAGCTCTCTCTGACCCCTCATACCTAGCAAGACCTACACGCTATCTGTACAGTCGCACATCCTGTTCATGGTCCCTCCTGGAGGCACCTACCCACGTCCTTTGAGACATGGGTTCAAGTCCCAGTTCAGCTCCCTCACAGTTGCCAAGCTCCTTCACTGCTCTGGGGCTTGGTCTCCTCTGTTGTGAAACAAGAAGATAAGCCTCCCTTGCAGAGCTGATAGGGACCATTCAGAGCACATGTACTTGGAGTTGGCTCCCTGTCCCCCCAGCCATCCTGGCTCCCTGTCCCCCAGCCACCAGATCTGAAGGTAGCACAGATTCCCCTCTGAGAGGCAAGAATAATGAGGTCCCTTATGTGTCCCCTCAAGTGGACAGGTGAAAGACAGGGGTCTTTTGCCAGGAGCCCAGCTAATCTAATCTTAGCAGGTTTTCTGGAGGGAGAGTGCTCTCAGGGGGCTAGAAATAACAACTTGTTTTTCTTAACACTGGCTTGAGCCAGCCAGGAGGGACAATCATGGCAGGGTGCACTATGGTGGTTGGATGGGGCTCCCAAGGAGCAACAGTGGGGAAGGTGCCAGTTATGCCCCTTCTCCCATGTTCCTTTCCCTTGTGTGACCTTGACCTTGGGGCTAATGACTGCAGTGATAAAAATAGAATTGGTATTGGGTGAGGAGGGGGCCACCAGGTCTCAGTAGGCCTCCTGACCTCAGGGTAGCCTCAATGTGGCCTCAGCAAACACTGGGCAGCACCACCCTCACCCCATGCTGTGCACACTTCATCCTGTGCTGCTACAGCCCTCTGACCTGTATCAGTACCTTCACTCCTCCTGCCACCCCAAGGTCTCCTACCTCTTTTATGCTGACAGTGCTGGCCACTGGGTTCTGGGCAAAGCTAACCTGGTCGGGACTTTTGAATTAGGCATATGTGTCTAAAACTGAGCATCAGGTAAGGCGCACTCTCTGGGATGAGGCCTTGAGGAGCCAGGCCACTCTCATCACTATTGCCCAGCCACATGGCCCTGCCATGGCCCTGCCAGACATCCGGTCTAGGCCTGCACAAAATCAACACCTTTGGATTGGATGGGAGTGGGAGGGTAAGGAGGGAGAAGTGTGTCGATGTGGGCCACAGGAGGTCCTAGGTGGTGGATGCTGGGATGCTGGAATGGACAGGCTGGGACAGCTGAGGACCTGGGACCTAGACTGGCCATGGAGTGACCAGGAGGAGGCCTGGCCCCACCCTTTCAGCCTGGAACTCAAGTCTTTGGGGTCTCTTTTCAGATCGAGTTTACGCCAGAGCAGATTGAAGGTGAGCAGGGATCTTGACCCCAGGGGTTGCAGGGCTGGGCCAGGATTCCCTGGTCTGAGGGTGGAGTCCTGGTGTTGGAGTGAGGTGGGCTCTTTCCATAAGTATTGAAGCTTACTGCCCTTTCCTGGCAGAGTTCAAGGAAGCCTTCATGTTGTTTGACCGCACGCCCAAGTGTGAGATGAAGATAACATATGGGCAGTGTGGGGATGTCCTGCGGGCTCTGGGCCAGAACCCTACACAGGCAGAAGTGCTCCGTGTCCTGGGGAAGCCGAAACAGGAAGGTAGTGCACCCTGCCTCAAAGTCCCAGTCCCAGGGACTCTGTGAGGGTGGGCTGCCGTCAGTGGTGGGAGAGCATGAAGTCCTGCCTGCTGAATCCCCTCCTGACACTCTTCCATTGTCCAGTGAGGACACTGAGGCTGGTCTCAGACCATGCTGAGAAGGTGACAAAGAGCGATGGTTTGCTGGACCATCTAGCCCCAAGCTGATTTGCCAGGCCTGCTGGTTAGAGGAGACTGATACCTATCAAGGAGTAAGACCCAAACCCTTCCCTCCAGGTTCTAAAATCTCAGGGAGGGTCTCTGATTGTCCCAGATGCTCCTGACTAATCGTAGGTGGTAGGAATTGTGAGGTCTCTAAGAACCTCTGGGGTAGGACCATTTTCCAAAAGTAGATGTGGGGTATTGGATGGAGCCCCTGTGGTGAAGTACGGCCATAAACTCGCCTTGTGAATGGCAGAGGGCTATGGAAACACCTTTCTCAGCAGATAGTAAAGTGGCTTCTGTCAGTGGCATGCTTTGGAAATGGTAAACTGGTATAGACTGGTTTGGGAACTGTGTGAGAGGTGATGGCTTCTCATTATAAGGCACAGGGGAAGACTGTGCCCACCTCTCTCAGACCCTGGGATTTAGACCATCTCTCTGCAGAGCTCAATACCAAGATGATGGACTTTGAAACGTTCCTGCCCATGCTCCAGCACATCTCCAAGAACAAGGACACTGGCACCTATGAGGACTTTGTGGAGGGGCTGCGGGTCTTTGACAAGGAGGGCAATGGCACGGTCATGGGTGCTGAGCTCCGCCACGTGCTGGCCACACTGGGTGAGGGTGACCTCTTCCCCATCCCACTCCTTTTGGGGTGCCCTGGGAGAAACCACTCTGTTACCCACCAAGCCTGTGTCTCACCTGTGAAATGGAGAGAGTGATGTTATTTAGGTGGGAAATACAGAACCAGAAGGGACAGCTCTGGGAATGGGGCAGGGCAGAAAGGTACATTCAGATCAACTCATTCCG